AAGTTAAGCTTAGGCTATTGCTATTACCGGTATAATTGTTAGCAATGGCAGAAATGATGCAGTATTTTATCATCTGAATTTATTTATTCCATCATCATTTTTTTTTCAATTAATTAATCTTTTTTTTTGAAACTTTTAACATAATGGAATATTATTATTTTGCTTCATGTTTGATTCTTTCAGAAGGTATTTTTTGTCATTCAAATATAAATTGACAATTACTTTATGGTCAGATGCATTATATAACTTTTACGTTAATTATGGTTTAGATAATCGATTTGGATAAATTTGATTAATGTTCACGGAAATTTTGATAAGCAATGAAACAATTTAAATTATGACAATTTTTAATTTATCAATCGAACAGCTACTATAAACCAAATTAGCACAATAAAAAAAATTATAAGAGGTTGAACTACAAATTTAAAATGAAATCCATCGGGAGATACTTTAAATTTACTTAAGCAAACAAAACTGTTATTTATTCGTTTTCACTTGCAATTTTCTTTTCTTTTTCGTCTTTCTTTGCATTTATTCAAAGCTTTAAACACATTTTGTGTATTTTTGTGCAAATAAATTGATATTGTTAACTAAAAAAAAATCTTTTCAGTAATGTCAGTACTTACAAAAATTTTTTAATTTGCAGAAAAAATGTGGAATTTTCTCTTTTCTAACTTTTTAACGTAACCAAATTTACGCATACAATATCTTTATTTTTCACTTTTAATAACTTTTATTAATATTTCAAAAAAAAAAAGAGCAAACACAGCTGTGTGGATGAATTGGATGTCGTTTGATGAAAATTTGTTAGTCAAATGATATCAAATTTTAAATTATTATAAATGCGAAATTACGAATGGATACCTTATCTTCCATTAATCATTTCTCTAACTAATTAAAATTTGATAGTAATTTCAATCAAATATTCAAAAAAAAAAAAGGAAAATCAATCGTTATGCTGCATTCAATTTCAGAATTCACCTATTCATATCAAATCAAAAAAGAGCAAGAAAAAATTGTAAGAAAGAAATGAAATTTTAAATTTGATCAAAATCGTCTTAATGGGAAAGTAATTTTTGCTAAACTTTTCGATATTGTCAATTGTCTTCCTAATTTTATCTATTGTTGTTATTATTATTGCCATCATTCGATCTTTGTGGACCAGTTCTTTTTTTTTTTTCAAGAAGTGAAATAAAAAGTGGAAAAAACTATAATTTGTTGATCTCATTCTCTAATTTTTCTTTTTAAATCAATTCTCATATTTTTTTTTGACGTCATCAATGTTTTTGGTTCATATGTTATAATTAGAAAAGGTTTTATTTTTCCATCAACTTTTTTTTTTTCTAAAAGAAAAGAAATTTAACAGCATCTTTTCTACACATCATTTGTCTTTCATCCATTTTCCAACTTATCATCCCCTCATTTTTGATAGTATATCTTCGCCTAATTTCTACACACAATTAAAAATTTATGCTTTTGATTGTAATTCTCAATTTTAGTTACCAAATGTACATTTATAATAATTTCAGTTGTACTGAAAATGATTCATAAGATTGAAGAATATTACACGATAATGCGGCCAATATTATTATACTATATCAGTGTAATTACCTTCTCATTTTGATATTTTATCCAATAATTTGGCTTAATTATCTTTTCAGAATGGATAAAATCCTAAGCCAAATATTGAACCGTTTACTTTGCTTGCTGTTTATTGTTTGTTTGCTGCTTATTGTTTGCTATTTATTGTTTGCTGTTTATTGTTTGCTGTTTATTGTTTGCTGTTTATTGCTTGCTGTTTATTGTTTGCTGTTTATTGTTTGCTGTTCATCGTTTGCTGTTTATTGTTTGCTGTTTATTATTTGTTACTGATGATGATTAATTGATAGAAAATGTACGATGATGCGTCAGCGGATGGTATTATTGTAAAACAAAAATGTCCACACAGGTTCATCGTCCCATTAATGATGCAAATGTCATATTTAATGATTCATCAATTCAATAAACCATTTCCCATACTTTTATTACAGTATGATGATGTTTTAATGTAAATGTTCGCTTACTTTCCAAGAAAATGTTTGCATGATCGCTACTTTCTTTGCTTCAAAAAAAGAAAAAAAAAATTTGTTTCGTTTGCTTAAATTTATTTATTGTACTGATTTTTTTTTCCTCTCTTTTTTTACTAATCTTCACGATTTGTTAACATCTAATGTACATTTAACCTTACATTTTTCTCACGACAAAGTTAGACATGGAATGGAATTAATAAATTGAAATAATAATTTCTTAATTTTTATCTGTTATTTTTATAAAAATTTAAAATGTATAATAGCATAGTGATTAGTTTTCATATTATATTTACATATTATTGTTCCTTTTTTTTCTTCTGGATATTTTTTAAAAAATTGATTAAACGAGTATGATTTGATAACAGTCTTTTTTTCATTTATATATATGTATGCGCGTATATGTGTATGTGTACGTGTGTACGTGTGTGTGTGTGTGTGTGTGTGTGTGTGT